TCACCTTGGAACATTAATAATTTATCCCGACCACTTCATACTTTCTATTAAAAGTTTTCTATTAAAAGTGAGTTTAAGAAAACATAGTACCTGAAACAAACATCTCTACATAAACTTAATTAGCAAAAAGTTGCACGTCCACTTTACTAGTTTATTTTAAATAAAAAATAATTAAATAAATAAACACCAAACCACCTCGTTCGGGTTGACCCAGACGGCCAGACCCACATCGGGTCTTTCGGACCAATGAACAAGCAACCTGTTCGAATGGGGTATTGACCGGTCTGGGTTGGTCTACGTGGTTAGACTAATACACCGTGTGGACCTGGGAGATTTGTCTTGTTTTCTTATAGAAAAGAACCGCGTGGACCTGGAAATTTTGTTGACTGAGTAATATACAGAAAAATTTGTCTACACTGTTTTTTTCTGAAATATTCATATAGTCTCTGTCGTCACATTTGAGCTCACAATAACTGTCACAAATTTAGTCCTCACGGATTCACTAATCTTTTCACCAAAGTGATGGGTACTGCGGCTTCTCGTCCCACTGGGAAACCTCTTTCCCATGTTATTGATTATGAAGAGACCGAAATACCGTTCTCTGCTTCGCATCTTTCCATCCTCCTTCATCATGTCCGAAAGTTGGAGGGCATTTAAAATCAACAGAGACGTAGAATTCCCGAGCTATATCCAACCTGATGTCAAGAAAAGAATCACCAGAAAGGCAGTGACATCCATGGGGAACCTCCTACATTTATTCCAAGTGCCAAAAGGTCTCGGGTCGCTGGGGCAAAAAGAGCTTGTGGCAGCATTTCTCGACTTCCTTCTTCAACTGTTGCATCACAAGACCCGTGCCATGCTCTCATTTATCGACCAAGTCGAATTTCTCGAGAAGGAGCTCAAGTTCCTTGTTATGGTTCTCGGTGACACGCCGTTGGTGACGCCCGATTCCGAAAGAGCCGATGCTCTAATCTTAGAGTGCGAGGCCGCGGCAAGTGATGCTGGAAAGGTGGTTCATTCCTTGGTCTTTCTCCCGGATCAAATATGCAAATCAAGGAGGATTGATAGGGAGTTGGGCTCTCTTTTAATACGTCTCGACCTCATCAATTCAGAATTAGCCGAGCTGCTGAATGTGCTTCCATTTACGAGCCGTGCTCCGGAGAACGCCTCGGTTGACTCTCTGTTCATTCTCGACTCCATTGTTAATGACCTCGAGGACGTGGTGAAAAGGGAAGGCGGCCTGGAGGTTGATGCGATGGTTGAAATTGAGAAGCTCTATCGGGGATTGCTAATGGTTTCCCAGCTCAAGTCCACAAAATTGCCACCACATACAGAGAGCCAAGAACTGAAACATTTAGTTGCACGGATTAGTGATGTGGCGTACGAAGCTGAATATCTCGTCAAGTCATTTCTGGCCGGGGACGTTCCTTTATGGTATCTCAGGGGCAGACTCAACCGTGTTACCTGTGAGATCGATATCATTGGGACTCTTCTTCAACAACTCGAGGAAAGTAGTCGTGGCAATAGAGCCACAAAAGCTGCAGGTGAAGGGGGATTATTCACACAAGCTGACAAGACAGACAATTTTGTGGTGGATGATGTCACGGTCGGTTTTGAGGAGAATGCAAGGGATATTTTGGATCGAGTGGACGGGCAAAATGCGAAGCTCGAGTTCATATCCATATTTGGGATGGCTGGAATCGGCAAGACTACTTTCGCGAGGAAATTATACAATCATCCCTTGGTTCAACATAGGTTTGACAAGCGCTCATGGTGTGTCGTTTCCCAAACGTACGACACAAAACGCATGTTGTGTGACATTCTTAATTCTTTACAAGGCAAGGCTACCAAAGAAAGTATTTTTGTGGAGGAGGGGGAAGATCTGGTGAAGAGAATTTTCCAGAGTTTGAAGGGAAGAAAATATGTAATCGTGCTGGATGACATATGGGACTCCCGTGCATGGGATGCCTTGCGGGCATGCTTTCCCGATGATGGGAATGGAAGCCGGATACTGTTCACGAGTAGGAATAAAGATGCATTCCCACCTGATACCATCATTTATGCCCTTCCGCTTTTGTCAGACGGTCAATGTTGGGAGCTTATGGAGAAGAAGATATTCCGCGATGAACCTTGCCCGATGCACTTAACAAAAATTGGAAAAGAGATCGCAGCAAGTTGCGGTGGGCTACCACTTGCGGTGGTTGTAGTAGCCGGAACTCTTTCTGCTATGGACAGGGATGAAAATGTGTGGATAAATATGAGAACAAATTTAGTCTTTTTCGGTGGAGACAATTCGGCGATGCCGATATTGGAACTCAGTTACAAGCATCTGCCGCAACATTTGAAACCCTGCTTTCTTTATTTTGGAGTATTTCCAGGAACAAAAGTTGGAGCTGGGGAGTTGATGAGGCTGTGGATTGCTGAGGGATTCATTCACAAGGAAGAGAAGAAGAGCATTGAGAGTGTTGCTGAAGAATATTTGAAGGCGCTAATTGATAAGAGCCTTGTAATGATAGCGACCAGAAAGTCAGATGGTGGAGTGAAAGCTTGCTTGATTCATGATCTGTGGCGTGAGCTGTGCTTGAAAATATCCGCGGAGACAAATTTTCTGAGAGCAGTGCACAGGTAAGTCTTTTCACTATACATGACTCTCATATGTACTTTGTGCTTCCATGTTTGCAAACATGATTTTCTCTCTCTCTTCCCTTTTTGTAACTCCACAGTAACTACTCAGTGTACGAGAAGGGACACCGCGTAGTATCTTTTCAGTGTCCGCTAACTAATTTCTTCAGCCACCGTATTCGCTCCATTCATGGATATAGTACTTCGGAATTTGAATTTTATCCTGGTGGCATGAAATTAATGAGAGTTGTGAATATCAAATGCACTAAGTACCCATTGGTGGGAACCCAATATCTCGTCAACTTGAGATACTTGGTCATACACGAAGTGCCGGAATCAATAGGTAGCCTTGTGAATCTTGAGCACCTGCGTGTAGCGAGTTTATTCTCAAATGTAGCAAAAGTAATAACGTTACCCCCGGCAATTTTTACAATGGTCAAGTTGAGATACCTTCACATCTCTCCCTGGGCGTATCTGGAGGGAAAATGCCACGTCTCCTCAATATTAAACAACCTCAAGTTTCTTTCTGGAATAATTATCAGCACACTCGAGGATGAAAGGATGTTGATAAGTTGGTCCAATCTGGTCAGGCTCAAGTGTACATGTGGACCACTATTTAAGGAGGAAAATGGAGTGCAAATGCATCGGTATCCTGAGCTGGGCTTTCTCCATCAGCTTGAGACGCTCACCTTGACTATTATTTCTGACCGTTCTTATCCCATTAGGCACATAAATTTCCCCCAAAATATCAAAAGGCTCAACTTATCGGGCACAATGTACTGGCCCTGGGAAAAGATGTCAACACTTGGAAGTCTGACCAATCTAGAAGTTCTCAAGCTGCTTGGTCCTGTTTTCGAGGTAGGAAGTTGGGAAACGAGAGATGGCGAGTTTCAAAAGCTCAGATTCTTGAAGTTGTCCCGCGTCCGACTCCAGCAATGGAACGTCTCATCCAGCAGGCATTTCCCGAGGCTCCGAGAACTGAAGGTGAGATGGGACTACGGGATGGAAGAGCTTCCTAGTGAGCTAGGAGATATCAACACCCTGCAGTTGATTCGGCTGGAGCTTGTTTCAGAATCACTTAAGGAATCTGCTAAAAGAATTGCAGAGTATCAACGGGATATGGGGAATGATGATTTTAAGGTTGAGGTTTTTGAGTAAGTTGAACTCATCAGTTTGTCTGGATATATTTGTTGATATTACGGTTCTCATGTTCTTGTGTCACGTTATATGCTGCTTAAAATTATTTCTGTTAGCATTTTCTGTTAGACTACATAATTGTAATTAAAAATGTTAAACGGTCCTTGACCCGATGGGCCAGCCCGTTTAGCCCGAAAAAAAACAGGGTTAGGGCTTTTTGTTGGTAACCCGTTTAAATCAGGGTTTTTTAGGCCCGAACCGTTTAAACCGAAGCCCGTCAGTGCTAGTCCGAAACCCGCTAGAGCTGGCCCGATTAACTTGAGTTGGGCGTTGTAAATGTTTGCAGCAAGTAATATGCTTTTAGATTCATTGTATATTCTATTTTGCTATTCCACTTCACATGTAAGTATGAGCTATAACGAATTATAATGATTTTTGAACGATAATTATTAACAATATTGTACTCCACACCAAAATATTTAAGTCAATCAGAACGACTAATAGGAAACACATGAGACAAAGACCTAACACATGAAACATAGTAATAGAATTTATAATGATATAATATCGTAAAAATTTTCAAAGCGTACAAAATAAGTAGTAAAATGGTAATTGTAAGTAATAATTCGAATATTTTTTTTTTTTGAAAAAAAAAGTATGTTATTTAAGAGTTTATAGTGTGTGTTCATATATGATGTGTAGTTGTATATATAGAGTGATAAATACTAAATAGCCGTTGAAAACAATTGTTAATTAGTCGTTGTAATTTTTTATAATTTTTTTTTATATTTTTTTGATACATTATTATTATTATTATTATTATTATTATTATTATTATTATTATTATTATTATTATTATTATTATATTATTATTATTATTATTATTATCCCCCTATATATTAATCCAGAATGCGCTGAGCCTACGTGGCTGCTTCTGGTGCTTCGGAATCCTATGTGGCAAAATTACATGCTTCGTTGTTAGGCTTGGGTAAATTTTAATTTAATTCCAAACCAAAAATAATTAGGTTTGGATTACCATAAATATGTTGATTATTTATGGTCATGTTACATGTATTAATTTCATTTTAATATCATTCCTTATTATAACTATTGAATTGTATATAAATTTTTAAAGTTAATAACTTTTGTATTTTTTATCAGTTTTACATATGTAATATATCAAATTAATCTTCTTTGGATGAGCTTCGATTTAATATCCATATTGTATGTATAAAAAAGATAATTCATATTTATCTTTATAACAATAATAAAATTATTTTTAATATTAATTAGAAAAATAAAATTATTTATCAACTAATATATTTATATTTCAAGTAGTTATATGATAATGATATAAGTTATAAAACAAATATAATATAACGCATGTAAGTCATAAGTAACACATATCATTCTAAAATATATAGTAATATATTTTTTTTTTTGTAAAAAAGTAAACTAATTTTAATATAATTTTCTCATTAATTGAATTGTATATATATTTTAAAAGTTAATAACTTTTGTATTTTTTATCAGTTTTACATATGTAATATATCAAATTAATCTTCTTTTGATGAGCTTCGATTTAACATCCATATTGTATGTATAAAAAAGATAATTTATATTTATCTTTATAACAATAATAAAATTATTTTTAATATTAATTAGAAAAATAAAATTATTTATCAACTAATATATTTATATTTCAAGTAGTTATATGATAATGATATAAGTTATAAAAACAAATATAATATAACACATGTAAGTCATAAGTAACACATATTATTCTAAAATATATAGTAATATATTTTTTTTTGTAAAAAAGTAAACTAATTTTAATATAATTTTCTCATTAATTTTAAAATTTAAGATAAATTTTTTAACAAGCACCCGTGTATTTACACGGGTGTTGTACTAGTTATTATTATTATTATTATTATTATTATTATTATTATTATTATTATTATTATTATTATTATAACCCGTTTAGCCCGAAACCCACTAGGGTTAAGGTAAGGTCCTTTTATTGGTAGCACGTTTAAATGCTTTTTAGGCCCAAAACGTTTAGCATGAAACCCGTTAGGGCTAGCCCGAAACCGCTAGGGCTAGCCCGTTTAACATCTCTAATTGTAACATTAGTTTGGAAATAAGATTTCTGTTTGAGTATAAACACTAAAAACCCTAATGTATTGTCAACTATTCATTTTTGTACAATTCTTATGAAATAAGATTTTCTATTTTGCTCTCGTTTTATCTCTTGATCTCTTCTTCTTCCACTACAAAAAAAAAAAAATGATGAAATTTCAACGGAATATATTACAATAGAATTCCAACGACAATTTTAATGGATATTTCAATGCTATTTTTTCCGTTGAAATAATTCCAATGAAAATTCCAACAAAAATATTCTCTTGGAATGGTTTTTCCATCAGAATTTTCATTGGATTTTGATGATTCCAACGGTAGATTTTCCAAAGGTAGTGAAAATATAAATTTCAACGAAAAATTGCATATTCCAACGGAAATTCCTACAGTGAAAAGATGTTAGAAATATAGCCGTTGGAATCATCAAATTCCATCTAAAATTCCAATGAAAAATACATTCCAACCGAATATTTTCGTTGGAATTTCCGTTAAAATTATTCCAACATAAGCTATGTCATTGGAATATTCGTTGGAATTTCCATTGGAATATATTACCATAAAATTTTCTATTGGAATATACCAATTTTTTTGTAGTGTTCTATACACAAATCTGTTGCACAGATTGTTAACATGGTATCAATCGTTCAGGATTTCGATCTTATTTTGTTTTCCATTGCACACTCTACATAGATCTATCATTTTTGTTTGCGATTTTACATTTTTTTTGCTTGGATCGCAAACCCTAGATCGACACTTGTTCTGCTTCGATCTAAATTAGATTTCCATAGATATCTGTGTTAGATCCTTTTAGACTCGTCTTTGATCATGGTTTTTAGGATTTTCCTTGAGTTTTGACTGTTGATCCTACGATATTCGTCTCTGATGGCCAACCCTAATTTTACCGACGACCTAATCTCACCGGTGAATACCATGTCAGTGATAATCCAGGTGCTCTCATTGTGGCCGAATAATTTAATGGTGAGAACTATGTCTCGTGGTCTCTTGTTGTATCCATGGCCCTTAGTATTAAAAACAAACTCGGATTCATTGACGTTACGACTTTTGTACCTAATCCTACTCTGAATCTATCTGAATCTTTTGCTTGGGTATGTGCTAATAATATCGTGTTCTCTTGGTTGTTAAACTATGTTTGTAAAAAAATTCAGCAATCTTTATTAATTTTTGTTGTTGCTCAAGAGGTGCGGGAAGAAATTAAATCCAGATATGCTTCGTCTAGTGGTTCTAGGGTGATTCAACTTGAAAATTCCTTAAGCTCTATAGATCAAGGAACGCCATCGATTACACAATATTACAATTCTTCAAATGCCTATATGATGAATATGTAACCTACATGCCAATTTGTTGTTGTCACTTTGGAGGCTTTTAATACCCGTTCTTGCAATATTTTTATGGTTATGTCCAATGCGCAACAAAATGATTCGGTTATGGAATCTCTAAAGGCCAATTGATGATTTTTACTCTTAATTTTGGGCATAATTTCAAAATTGGTCCTATAAATTGACCACTTTCCAAAAAAAATCACCCCGATATTGACCACTTTCAAACTTAGTCCTATAATTTGACATTTTAATCAAATTCGTCCTTTTATCCGAAACATGGATTAAAATGTGATTAAAAAAGGACCAAAATGTCAAATTATAGGACCAAAATTGATTACAAAAGGACTAAATTTGATTAAAATGTCAAATTATAGGATCAAGTTTGAAATATCGGGGTGGTTTTTTGGAAAGTGGTCAAATTATAGGACCAATTTTTAAATTATGCCCTTAATTTTGGAGTCATTTCTTGCTTTCTTCACCTCTGTCTTCCTTGTCTAAGGTCTATTCTCTACTACTTCAAGAAGGAAGTCAAAGAAATATTACTACATCTTCAAAATCCATTGAATCTGTGGAAATGGTTGTCAAAACAAACAATCAGGCTTCTTTTAAATAAACTTAACCTTCTTTTTCCAAAGATAAAAAGAAGTTGAAACGCACTCATTGTGAATAAAATCATCTTTTTGAGAATTGCTACCAGGTTATAGGTTATCCTCCTCACTGGAAAGGTCCTAGGATCTACGCTGATCATCCTTCTGCAATTCTGTTCATATTCCCGATGATAATCATTACCCATTTCTTCTAATATTACTACCACAAATTCCGTATTGACCATGTCTTTAATGAGTTTCTAGAGTTTAAAAGATCATTTGAGAACAAACAAAATATTAGACCACAACATATGCTTCTCTTCCTGTTGTTGCTTCTACCACCATTACCTTAGAGCACTCAGGTAACTTGTTTGACATGTCATTTTTTCACAAATACAATTGGATACTTCATACTAGTGTATCTGACCACATGGTGTGTGATATTCAATTAATTACTTCTCCTCCTTCTCCAACTTGCATTTCTGGTAACCTTTCAAGTGGGCAAACTACTTGTGCAATTCTTGTGGGACATATCAATCTGGGCCTAATCTTGTACTAATCTTGTACTGCACAATGTTCTGTTTGTTCCTAACTTTACTTATTTAATCTACTCTCTGCTTCAAAACTTACCTCAAGAAACAATTGCCAAATAAGCTTTTTTCTCTTATTACTACACTCTACATGAGCTGAACACCAATTGTCAACAGAATGATTGGTTTTTGCTGAAGCAAAAGGTGGATTATACCATCTGCTGCCGAAAAATAACACTTGTAATTTTGCTTGTAATTTCACTTATGAACAAATGCTGTTGTTTAGAACCACAAACTTGGACACTTATCTTTTCACAAACTTGTGCAGCTTTCTATTTCTGTAAAGCAGAATAATGTTCTTACTCAAATCACAACCATGTGATTTATGTCATTTCTCTAAACAAAACCCTAACTGAAGAGCT